CGGAAGTTCCGCGCACTTGAATTCCGCGATGTTCGGCGCGGCTGCCATTACGCGACGAGAGAGGAAAAGCCTCTCTCTCTTTCTCTCTCTCTCTCTCTCTCTCTCTCTCTTCACTAACTCTCTTCGCTAGTTTCCAAGTCCTTAACTAGGGAAGAGAGAGGGAAAAGCATGATCGGTTCGACGAGATGGATGGAATTTGTCGTACAGACAAAACGCGTCCTCGAGAGACTTCGCGAAGTTTTCGAAGCGCGGTTTTCCTTGAACAACCATCGACATTTAATTCCGGCAATAAAACTAAACTCCTACCGCAATTACTCCGTGCAGTAAATTTGCGTGATTATGAGTCAATTGCAACGTTATACTGCCACTTGATTGAATGACTTGTATAATATATATATATATATATATGTATCGACGCGCGTGCGGTTGAAATCCGTTTATGTACACACGCGGAAACTTCGTACGTGCCGTAGAATGGAATTAGAAACGATACAAAAGCGGAAACGTCAAACAACGGCGAGGGAGAGAAACTACTACGCAAAATTGACTCTTCGTCTGCAATATGTGGTTTTTTTTCTTTTACTAACTCCGTCTGCATAACCAGATCTGAGAGATCACAGACTTGTCTTCTTGCTGTTGTTAGGCTTGGCAAAAAATCTTAGAAAATTCTGCGATACCTTACGAGGTCTTCACTTTGATGTAGAAGCGACACTTGAGCGAAAAATATTAAAAACCCTTTCGATAAAAATTCGATTCGGAGAGAAATTGAACAAAGACATTTTTTCTCTGAGGACTGAAATCCTCATTATGCATAGACGAGGAGGGTTAAAATTGATTGCACTCGAATGTAGCGCGGCGGGAGTTGACGTTACACTTTTCGAGTTTGATTTCTATCTTTCGATAAGTTTGACTAATGAAGGGGCTGAAACTTCCTCCCGGGAGTTAATTATTTTGTCAAAGTGTCTCTCGTAAATTTCGCGTTATATATATACATATATATAAAATATAAACGCGCGCTCGCGACACGTCGTACTTTCTGCGAAATTCATCTCGGAAAAATAATCGCATACATATTACACGTACGCCTCCTATTGCGGCGGCCTTTCACACCCCTCCCCTCTTCCCGTTTTACCCCGCACCGCAATTCAATTATCACGTTTCCGTGGTAGCGCCACTTATATTTCTCGCTACGGCGATACCCATCTGGGACCCGCGTCGAGAGGTTGACGCTCTTCTGTGATCGAAATCTATTTCCGGCGTCGATGAGATCTCTCTCTCTCTCTCTCTCTCTCTCTCTCTCTCTCTCTCTCTCTCTTTCGAGTTTCGCGAGAGAGAGAAAGCCGGAAAAGTAAACGAGAGGCACGCGCGGGAGATGAACACCGGATCTCTGTTACGTACGACGTGTCTTTCTGCTCGTCCGCGCTTGCCTCTCTTCCGCAGGAAAGAGAGAGGAATCAAATTGGATCCTTGTTCGGATTAGATTTATCTCCCGCGTCAATATCTTGCTCGCGCGCGTGAGAGAGAGAGAGAGAGAGAGAGAGAGTTGAACACGCAATATAAGTACGTTCGCGAAAACGCATCGAGTAGACGAGAAATGAGAAGAGTGACGGAACTAGTACCAATCAATCGATAAATAATTCAACAATTACTAATTACGAGAGAAAGTTCGTCAAAGAAAAATTTTTCTTCCGATACGAGAAATCTCCAAACTGTTCTTGTGCGTTTTTTATTCCTGTGTATTAGAAAAGCGAAGGAAGGACGTACAAAAGGGGAAGTAGGAACAAGAGAGAGAGAGAGAGAGACGGAGAGAGATACGTCGCGACGTGGCATGAAGGAGCCAATTAGTAGGAATGCACCGAGTCACCCTTGTCGCGCGGGGCCCGTGTTTTGCATTCGGCACGCGGAGCGCGCATTGTGCATCTCTCCGGCATAGTGCGCCGTCTCATCCGACAAATTTTCCCGTGAATAGCTTCCGTCTGAGTAAATAGCGAAACGCCAAGTAACGCGCGAGATAGAGAAAGAGAGGGAGAGAGAGAGAGAGAGAAAGAAGGAGAGAGAGAGAAAGCCTCGACGATGAGGGATTCGCATGCGCGTTGTTTCGCTAAAAGCCTGTTTGGACGAAACGATTTTAGAGAAAAGCGCGCGTATACACAAGTGCACAATGGCTCCTTTTTTTTTTTTCCTATTTCCTGTCATACGTACAATGCCGCTATTTCGCCTAACAGATTTGTTTATTGCACGGAATATCGCGTCGCGAGTTTCCAATCTCTTCTCTCGCTCTTTTAAATTCTACAAAAAAAAAAAAAAAATTTAATTCTCGCACAATGTCCTAATTTTTGATTAAAGAGCGGCAAATGGAGTTTACGATCTGGCAAAAGTGTGTTCGCGATATATGTAGACTGCGCGAAATGGCGAAGTGGCGCTTGCAGCGTTAATGCTCGTTTAAATCGAGATTTGAAACCGGTACGTATAATATTTCAGCGAGTTCGCGTTTCACCGCCTGCCAACGCGCGCGAATTTATATGACGTCAGCAATTGAGCTCCGCGAAATATTCTACGCCGATGTTAATTTGCGAATTTGATACCAATATATGCGATATATTGATATTTGAAGCATATGTTATTGTGATTATATTAATAATGTAATAATATAGTTGCAAAAATAGAAGACCCGATGTGCGTGCTCCAAGTGTTCAAAAGAGAAAACACATTGTTCTCTTTTTTTTTTTTTTTTTTTATAACAACGTATACTTGAAAAGTTTGAAGTACACGTTTGAAATGTACATTTCGTACTTTGGCTATAAGTTGCGGGAGAAGAGCTTTTAACTGTCTACTCGCTCTTGTGTCGTATTGTGTGCTTCACATATGCATATATACATATATATATATATATACATACACGCTTCAAATAAATCTGTCTTTCCGAGGAGTCTTACCGCGCGAAGTTTACGAAGTAGTTCCGCGTGGGTGGAATATCTAAATTTTAAATTTCCCGAAAAAATTCGAGTGGACTTCGTTCTCTCCGAAATCCCGTGCCCCGTTTTCTTCTTCAAAGAATCGTTCAAGAATTAATATCGACAATGTTTCCGTTCGTCGTCAATTTGTTTTTTCCGAGATTCGGAGAGGCGCTTTCGCGATCGAGACGATCTCGTTATTTGCTTTAAAGTCGATCGTCTCGAACGAGTTTACGGCCGCGCGAACATCTTCCGTTTTCTCCCGATCCCCTTTAGCCTTAGAATGAAGTCGCATCTAATCCCGTTATTCGCTTCACGGAATTCCACCTCATATCTCGCACGCTTACTTCTCCTCGTACGTCTTTCTCGGCTTCGCCGCGCTCCGAGTTTCTTGCATCTCGCCGACCGACTACTTTCGGACAAAACGTCGCAATATCGTCGCAATCTTCCGCCTTTGTCGCGCCTCCCCCGTCGATCGATAAATCGAGCGAGCAACGAACTTCTCGTTATCTTCGCCGTAATGAGAATCCACAGCAATTATAATCCCGACGTTCTTAATTTACTAGACCCCGTCCGAGCGCTTTCAACGTCCGGCGCAATCAGCGTTAGAGCAGCGACGATTTTGCTTCCTCTCTCTCTCTCTCTCCTTCTTTCTCTTCTTCCTCTACCACCATATTCCATTTCTTTTTCTAATCTGTCTTGCAAAAGCGATTTTATATTTATCGATGAACGCATGTTCTCAAAGGGCCAACGTCACATAAAGTTTGCAAATACGGGAGGATATAATTAACTCGATGCAAGTTTTCACAGGGATGTGAGATTGCGATATGTGAGCAATAGACATGGATGCGAGCGGAAGAGAGATATAAATTCAAAATTAGATGCTGCAGAAAGAGAAAAGTTTAACAAATGACAAGTAAACAAACATGTAGATAAATTTGATAAGTTAAGTGTGTCGGAGACGAGAGCTACCTCCTTTAATCATGGCGTTGAGAATTATATCAGTTTCTAGTGTGTCGAGCACGAATAGCCCGCCGTACTAAATATTCCTTGACTTAATCTCGTCGAAGACTCAGCACTTGAAAATATTTCTCAAGAGAGATTCCGGACACTTTATATATTCATCTTACGTCAGACATAGTGTCACCGTTTTCTCTCTCTCTCTCTCTCTCTCTCTCTCTCTCTCTCTCTCTCTCTCCCGCGAGCGCGCGCTTGCGCACAATTCTAAAAATAAAGAAAACGCTCCACTCCTAGGAGAAAACTGTTGACGTCCGCAGAAAAAGCCTTTGCGCGGGTAATGGCAAGACGTACGCGATCAAGTCAGAACCCGGAGGATTCGAGTTTCTCGCATGGATGATTCGCGCGACGTTCTCCGACGGATATTTGCATCGAAATCGTCTCTCGCCCTTACACGAGTTCGTTTTTCGCGCTACTCCGAACAATAATAATGTGATTCTTCGTACAACATCGTTCACTTTTGAAATTACGAGAAATTGAAAAACAAAAAATTAATCGCGCGTGCGGTAGAAACAAAATTTCCGCCCTAAATACTCGATACTTATTATAATCGTAAATTTGTTAGACAATATTTTTTTCCAGAGAGTTACATGATCTTATTTTCAATTAGGTATTTGATAAAAACATTATTACTTTATGAAATCTAGATTGTTTGTACAATCATTTGTAAAATCATTACTAGATTGTATACACATTATATCTCATAAAATAGATTCTTCGTTTGTGATTAAAAAACAAAAGTAATTATCTCGAACTTATTAATATCAGTAAAACGTTCTTATAAATTTCACAAAGTTACATCGATCAAAGCTACGTTTCTAATTGAAAAATTTTTCCGCCCTTTTGCAATTTTACAAAAAAGTACATAAACTATAAGTGTAACCTCAATAAAAAAAAATATATATCTAATATTTCTATCTCATGAAATAGAAAGAATGTGAAGTATTACATTATTCATATGTATCGATATCACATTGTGTATATTGAATTAGGTGACAAGTAATATTACAGAACATGAAATAAGTCATCATCAATTAAAAAGTTATTTATTAAGCGTGAAAAACATGCAGCGTGATAATCAGCATCATTAACACCTGTTACTCTTCTACTTTGATCAAAACCAATCAATTAAGCTTACTTAACTCTTAACTTATGTATCCGCAGTTTTTACCAAGTCATTTCGTATGCGCAAAGTGGACACAAGGACATAAGTTACATTTAAATCTATGTTACGTACATTTAAATCTATGTTAACTAGTGCACTGTATGAAGAATGTTTGATCTAACTGTAATAAGTTGTGTAATGGTAAAACCCAAGATTTTTTAACGAACAAAGCGTTATACATAAAAGTATACATATACAAATATCTATAACAAAAACCGTTTGTCCTGTTAAGATAGTAAAGAATTGATAAATATCACACTGACAGTAGTATAGAATACAAAATTCTTTTTAGAAAAAATATTATTGGAATACGGTTCTATACGATTTTCATTTGCGAACATACGCGTCCAAAAGCGCATTTTTGGAAGACGGATCCAGAGCGGGTGTGACGATTGCCATGACGTTGCTTGTCTTCCCTAAGACAAGCTAACACATCATCACTATCAAGCAATATGACGAATTGGACTGAGTTAATAGAAGACTGAGTTAAGATTCGATTCGGTGAGATAAGAGACAAAACTTGCGGTGATTCCTATATGTAAAAAAATACAAACTGTCAATAAACTATTTGTGTTAACTGTTACTTAACTGTTACTTAGTGTTTATGTTTTGCTAAAAAAGAACACATATATTTAAAAAAAAATGATACCTTGAATTTCACTCGTTTTCCTTTACTTGTTTTCCTTCACTTGCTACACACTTTTTCCATATTTGTGGTAATAAGCAAATTCCATAATAATCAGACATCGATGAAAGGTCGTTTATTGAATGAATTCGTTCATCGATCCATTTTTTGACTTCCTCGAAATTTTGAAACTGTTCGTCTTTAATGGTCTGCAGTTGTGGGAATAAGTAACGCTCTGATGAAGCAATATCAAAAGATTTCGCGGGATAGGGTAAGACTTCCCATCCAAAATCCAATGTTTGTTCTTTCACGGACTTAAGGACAGTTAGGTGGACAAAATATGTGTGAAAAAAAATTACCTTACGTCTGTCGTTCGCTATTTGCGGTCGTTTACTGGTCAATCCTTCTTTTAATTTATTTAATTGTTGTGAATAGCGGCCGATAACAACTTCATGTGATCGTAGCACTTCGTAATATATAACATCTTTATTATCCCACCAAATACAGAGCTTAATTTTGTTTTCCTTGTTTGTATTTGCTTTTGTTTGATTAGAAGTATCGTAAGATATCGACATTTCACAACCAGTCACAACGTGATCCAGAAAGTGCTTTTGCTTATTGTGTTTTGAAAGCAGTGAAATGCAAGTGTTGCAACGAATTTGACTAGTCAAGTCCATGCGTTTTTTTAAATTTTGAAGTTTTTTCATAGTTTGTAAATGTTGCGAAATAGTGCGTCGCGCAACAATTTTCAATTTTCTAGCCAGTTTCTTTTGCAATACGTTTTTTTGGATTTTCATCTAAAAGTTTCTGCAAGTCTTCATTCTTAAACTTCTTTTTCCCATTTACGCGTACGAGATCTAAGTCAAAATTGCCAATTTTGAATTGACGAAAGGACTTTGCGCATACAGGATGACTTTGGTAAAAACTGCGGACATTTAGTCGCAAGAGTTAAGTAAGCTTCACTGGTTTCTTTTGATCAGAGAAGAAAAGCAACAGGTGCTGATAATGTCGATTGTCACGCTGCATGTTTTTCACGCTTAATAAATAACTTTTTAATTGACAATTAGTTGTGTAATTTTGCAACTTATGAACTGCGGTTGAATTCTACTACCGTAGAATGCAGAAGTGCTACAGATATGACACACAACAAATGACGAATAATAAAATTGAATTTTAATTATATTCTCCAGTAACGTCATCCTCAGTGTTAAACTGTAAACATAAGCGCAATACTTAGTAAGTTCTCAGAACGCTAAAAAATACTTAATTTTTATAACTAATTTCACAAAACAAATAATTCTAATTACACAATTTCTGCGGTGACGATTACAATATACGTACCTGAAATCTTGTAGGTATTTATGAAAAAATTTAGTTATCACGTATCATAATCATAGTTCATTTAATGATCGGTGTCTTTCTTATTCTTATCCTACAATTATTTTCTATCGTATCCTTTGTCGTCCTTTACTTTCTTGTTGATAAGTTTCAAGTGATCACGAAAAATACATATTTATTATGTGTTACTCTCTTTCAACCTTTCCGAGTTTTTATCGCACTTTGTTCGATTCGTATTTTTTATTCGAAAAATCTACAGTAGCTCTGAATCTCTTCGGAATCTACGTAAATATAAAATATACTTTTAAAGATACTTTTTTTTTACTATATTGTATTTTACATATATGTATATAAACCTTTTATGCACTTGTCATAGTATAATCCACTTACTTTTATTTCTTCAAAATAGTTTTACAATATTTGCTTGCGAGAAAGCTGCAAACTCACTTCACTACACGTGATTGATCTGTGATCGTCCCGCACGTAAATGATACGAACAGCACACTGATTATTAACAGAAACTCAAAGTCGTAGAGCGTTTTGTATCGAAAGGTGAAAAAATTTGTATGTAGCGAAATCTTCGAAGTCTAAAATGTATTGTCTAACTTGTTGCTTTTCATGTTCTACTCGTTAGAGAGAGTCACGATATAGAAAATTATTATAAAGTTATTATATCTTCAGAGGCACCACAACCGTTCACTTCGGATCGCTACATACGACTGCCTGACTGCGATCAAAATAAGGTTCTTCGAACTTGGCTGTTGATCACGTATAGACCGTGTATCACTGTTACCTTGCGTGACAATCACAGATCAATCACGTTACTCTTTATTATTTGTATCGTGTGTGTGTGTGTGTGTGTGTGTGTGTATTTCGTTTCGTGTTCTATTTGTTAGTATGTAGTTTTATTCACTTTTAATTTTTACTTTTTAATTTTTACTTTTACTTTTTTCTACTCTCATTCTTCTAATGTTTTTTTAGTTAGAATTTTCTTTTGATATTTTTGCTATTTTTGATATTTCTTTTATTTAGTTTGATGAGTTGCGCTTTAGAAGACGTAGTCCAGAACGTCTAGAAAAAAAACTAAATCATTCAATCAATCAATTAATTTATCAATCTCTCTCTGTCTTTTTCTTTATTTCTTTCACTTTCTTTCCTCTCATTTTGCTTTTGAAATTGTGTATCACCGTCACTTTCAATTATATAAAACAGTAAATGTATGTTTTCTGTTATTAAATTATCCGAGTTTTATACGTAATTGTATTCCAAAAAATAGCAAATTTTACAAAAGAGCGTCAATTGTTCGTAAGATATAATATGGAAATTTTGATAATTACAAAATTGGTCCTTTCCGATTTCAATGACCTTAAAATATGTTAAAGACGTCATTCTGAAATAACTTAATAATAATTTCCCAATACATGTTGCCGCCGCTCGGTTCTAGTTTTCGAGTTATACATAAAAGAAGTTTCATAAATAAATTTTTGTTTTCCACCACTGTGTTGATTTAAAAAGTAAATTAATTGTTAAAAAGTAAATATTTTGTTTGTATGACATGTGTAGACAGGAAGGGCTTTATTCTTCCTCCTGCATTCTTCCCCGAAAAAACTTAAGGGTACGATGCATAAGAGTCAGTCTACAATGAAGGTAGTAAGGCTGTAGGAGTAGAGAGTAAACTATTTTTCGATGAAGTAACAACGGGAATAACGAAATGGACAATTTCCGTTCCAAACTACCTTCTGTCTTACTTTTCAGCCAATGAAAAACGCGTGTTAAAAAACGCGAAATATAATTACTTGTATAGACACAAATAAAATAACTCCAAGAACCTTACTTCTATACTGCCTACTTCCATTGTACTTCCTTAATGTATGTACGGTAATATATCGTAGTTATATATTAAAGAGTGAGTTCAATTATGTTTTTCGGGGCAGAAAGAGAGGCGAAGTCCTCAGCTGGTTACACGCTTACAACATTATATTGCCGAATTTTTGTTCGAAAAATTACTTACTGTAATGGAAGAAGGAGCTTCTCCTTACTCGCTGCACCCCCTCCCCGTCTACTATACATGTACCATAATGTTGTGAGGCAACCAAAATATTTACCTCATAAATCGACACCGTGTTGGAAAACCAAGGATTGATTTATGAAACTTCTTTTGTGTATAATTCGACGAAAACTAGAGCCAAGCCGCGGTAATATGTATAAGGAAAAATTGTTCGGAATGACGTTTCCTTATAACAACATATTTCACGATCATTGTAATCGGTGAGGAGAACCACTTTGTATATAAGTACCAAAATATTTTGCGCGACCACGAAATCTACATTCATCAAATAACTTTTTTCGTACAGTTTCAAATTATTGTTCACTCGAAGAGTTTCGTTTTTCATCGTTCACGGTTATGTCCTGCAATAATGACAACTTCGCCTAAGCTCCGAGCGACCTCCGAGAAGACATCAGTCAGTTTCACCCCGTATCTCTTCACTTGTTGATATCAACGCGGCGACGTGTACGATAATCTACGGATCAAAACTCACCTGTACTCTGCTCGAACAAAAGAAGAGAGCAAAAGTTATCTCAGGAACGTAGAATAAAATTCTCGTTTATGAAAAGCGACAGAGCGAGAAGACAGAGAAAGAAGTGACAAGAAGCGCTATACACAAACGGACGAGTAATTCTCGATGTAAAAAATTGTCTGGTTAAAATCCGTTCAAGAATTTATTTCCGGCGTCGCGGCGCACTTTCCTCAATAACCAACGACTCATGCCTTAGTCATCGCAATTTGCCTCCACAAAAATTAGCCGCGTGAAATATTATCGCGATTTTACGAGAAAGAGAGAAAGAAAAAAAGAATGATTTTCATAATGATACGTCTTCTTTGTTTAAATAGCGCGATACTACTTCACGAGAGGAGCAAATGCCCCAGTCTGGAGTCTTATTATTCTCAGAACGAATAGGAAGGGGAGGGATGTGCAGTATACTTCTGCCACGCGATACACGATACGCGATACACGACGTGATACCCGTCTTTCACAGTAGACGTGCCTATCTGTGTCGAGCTCGTGCTCGAGATGTTGTGACTGTGATCACCTTGTGGGAGAAGAATTAATTCGGGATTACACCCGAATTAAAATTTTTGAAGATCTGAATTAGTTCGCCAATCAACCGATAAACTCGGTTGAAGAGTACCTACCCGAAAACAATCCTTAGGTGGTGAGCGGATTCGACGAACTCGGGACCTCCGGGTTCGCAGCTCTTGCACTCAGGCCGCGAGATCGCTGGGCCCCGGTCTTTCATAATAAATACGTACTACATTGTCATAACTAACGCGCTTTTGGCGCAAGCTACACGTTCTTGCAGCTGTAACGTGTTGTAATTTAAACTACTTGCGCAATCGTGAATGTAATTTGTTACAACAATTAATAGAAATTTACGATTTGTCTTAAAGTGAGGACATGACTAATTAGCATAAGAATGACTACTTAGCGAAGAATGTATTCAGAGGCAAATATATCTTTTTTTCCGAACCTTTAATTGACTTATTCACAAAAAGCATTAAAAAAATAATTTTCCTTAATATACACTTACTTGAGCTATAATACTAATTAATACTAACTGAAGCAATAAAAACAAAATTGTTGTAGAAATAGTTGCGCTTTTTAATAAGTGATGTTCGGCAAAAAAATATCAGTACAAATCGTATAAACTATTCGTGACTCTACAAGAAGAACAAAATTTTGCAATATGGCTACTTTAAATAATCAAAAAATTCACTTGTTTACTCACGCCAAACTATGGACATAGAAAACCTTATGAAAATAACATCAGTTAAAGCATCGGTCAGAAAAAATTCTTTTGTTCAAATAATACTCAAGAAATAAATTAAAAATCCGAGAACAATATAAATACAAAAAAAGAAAAGTATACTAATTAAGAGATAATCTCTGCTAGTTGTACAGTTTACAATACATAATCGAAAACAGATTTTCCCGTACTTTACTTAATAAATATATATTTATTTTATTGTAGCAGATATATATTTACTCGTACGTCTGTTAGTTGATATTTTTTCCAAAGAATTACACCATCTTTTATTTTAAAATAAATTATTTAATATCACCATCATTTTTTAATGAAATTTAAATTGTTTGTACAATGTCTGTTCTATTACATCTTATCATATCTACATATAATAAATTCTTCGTTTGTGCTTAAAAACAAAGGTATTTCTTTGAAAATTATTACTATCAGTAAAAACCTTTTAATTGTAAGAAGTTATGTAGACTGAAGCTACATTTCAAATTAAAGTATTTCCGCTCTTTTGCAGTTTTGTACTGTATAATATATAAAAAATACAAGTTGGTACAATAAAAGCATTATACACGTATCTAATGTTCCTATCTCATGAGATAGAAATAACTTGAAGTATTACATTATTTATACAAATATCAATATCACATTGGTTACGTGTATTTATTTGACACGTAATATTATTATACAACATGAAATACGTCACGTTGTGTACAATAAAAATCGATGTTGACTAGTGCACTGTATGGAGAATGTTTGAACTATCTGTAGTAAGTTATGTAATGGTAGAAAACAAGATTCAACGAACAAAATCATAAATATAAGTATACAGGGTGTCTCATGAAGACCGTATCACCGCTCGTAGGCAGATAGAAGGAATTATTCTGAGTCGAAAAGTCCTGAACCATTTTTTTCTATTATTTATAATAAAGAAGTAATTATTGAATAAATCAAGCCAATCACAGCGCCGACCTTTAGTCGGGCGCATGTCAGTGAGCCGCGCGGAGCGCTCATGTACACCAGGCGCGTAGTTCACTGACGTGTGTTCGGCTAAAGGTCGGCGCTGTGATTGGCTTGATTTATTCAATAATTACTTCTTTATTATATGTAATAAAAAAAATGGTTCAGGACTTTTTGACTCAGAATAACTCCTACCTGTCTACGAGCGGTGACACGGTCTTCATGAGACACCCCGTACATATAAAAATATACTTATACTAAAAAAATCGTCCTTTTAAAATAGTAAAACGTCGATAAATACCACAATGAGAATAATATAGAATCGTTTAAAAAACAAAATTATTTAGAATAATTTTCGGTTCTATGCGATTTTCACTTGCACACATTCGTACTTGAAAGCACTATTTCGACAGACGGATCCAAAGCAGCCGCGACAATTGCTTTGGCGTTGTTTGTCCTCGCTAAGAATTATCATCACTATCAAGCATTATAGCAAATTGAACTGAGTTACTAGATATTCGATTCGATGAGATAAGAGACAAAACTTGCGGTGATTCCTATATATAACAAAATACAAACTGTCAATAAACTATTTATGTCAGGTTTTATCTTCACTTTTGCGTACAAATTTTTTTCTACAAAACACATGTATTAAAAATTACTACCTTGTATTTTAATCAAACTGTATTCCCTTTTTTGCTACATATTCTTTCCACTTGTTTAGTAATAAGCTAAATCCATCAGTAAACAAAACTGGGTGTAGTAAATCAATCAATCTTACGATCCAATTTTTTGCTTCTTCGAAACTTTTAAATTGTTTGTTTTTAAAAGCGTCTGCCAGATGTGGGAAAACGTAATCAAATGGAGTAATGTCAAGAATGGATGTAGGATAGGCTAAAACTTCCCATCCAAATTCCAATATCTGTTCTTTTACGGATCTAAGGATATTTGTTCGGACAAACATTTCATGCAACAGAATCACCTTACGTCTTTTGTTTGCTATTTGCGGTCGATTCCAGTTTAACGCTTCCTTTACCATAATTAATTGTCGTGAATATTGATCGATAACACTTTCATGTGATTGTAGCATTTCGTAATATATAACACCTTTAGTATCCCACCAAATATAGAGCTTCATTTTTTTTCCTCATTTGCATTTGCTTCTGTTTGATTAGAAGTATCGTAAGATATCGACATTTCAGCACCAGTCACAACGTAATCCAGAAAGTGCTTTTGTTTATTGTGTCTTGAAAGCAGTGAAATGTAAGTGTTGCAACGAATTTGACTAGCCAAGTCCATGCGTTTTTTTAAATTTTGGGATTTTTTCATAGTTTTTAAACGTTTCCAAATAGTGTTTCGCGTAACATTCAATTTTCTAGCCAGTTTTCTGTGCGATATTTTTGGATTTTTATCTAACAGTTTCTGCAAGTCTTCATCTTTTAACTTTTTGTTTGTATTAAATTCAAAATTGCCAAGTTTGAATCTGCGAAACCACGAGTTGAATGTCCTGGCGCATGGTGCAGAATCAGGATAAACTTTACTAATAATTTTGTAAGCGTCACAGGGTCGTTTGTTTTGATCAAAGTGGAAAAGTGCTATTTGGTGACAATGTCGTAAATCACGCTGCATGTTCTTCACGCGTAATAAATTACTTTCTAACCGATGATTAGATGTATAATTACGCAACTGGTACAATGCAAAAATGCTACAGATGTGACAAACAACAAATGATGAATAACACAAATGAATTTTAATTACATTAGTATCGTCATCCTCAGTGTTAAACTGTAAACATAAGTGCAAAACTTGATAAGTTCTCAAAACGCTAAAAAATACCTTATGTTTGTGTCACTAATTTCAATTAAAAAATACTTTTGCTTACATACTGTCCGATGTGACGAATACAAATATGTGACTTGCAATTTAGATCTATGACAGTTTAGGATACACTTTAGGTACCACGTATCATACTCATCGCTCATTTACTGATCGATTCCTTTTTTCTTCTTATCCTATAATTGTTTTTTTTATCGTATCCTTTGACGTCTTTCACTTTTTTGTTGATAATGTTCGAGTGTTTATAACAAATATATATATTTTGTGTTACTCTCTATCTCTTGACCTTTCCGATTTTTTATTGTTCACTTGTAGTTTTTATTTGAAATCTATAATGTCAGTTTTAACCTCGTCGGAATCTACGTAAATATAAAAGACTATTCGATATTACATATTAATACTATTATCTAATATTGTACTTTAGAAATATATAAAAGTTTTATGCACTTGTTATAATATTTAGGATATAGTATAAGCAACTTACTTTTATTTCTTCAAAGAAATTTTACAATATTTGCTTCCGAGAAAGCAAACTCACTTCACTACACGTGATTGACACATATAAACTGACATGATCTGTGATCGTCACGCACGTAAATAATGACGAGCAGTATACACAGATTATTAACAGAAACTCAAAGTCGTAGATCGTTTTGTATCAAAAGGCGGAAAAATTTATATGTAGCAACATCTTCGAAGAAGACACTTTTTAAAGTATTGTCTAACTCGTTGTTTTTCGTGTATTACTTGTTAGAGCGATGCACGATATAGATAATTCTCAGTTCTATCTTCAAGCACCATACAACCGTTCACTTCGGATTGTTACATTCGACTGCCCGACTACAGAATTCAGAATAAGGCTTTTCGAACTTGGCTGTTGATCATCTATTAGCCGTCATTCCTATCCTGCGTGATAATCACAGATCAATCACGTTGCTCTTTATTATTTATATTCTGTATCTGTAATCGGTTATTTTTTAAATTTTAATTATGTAGTTTCTTTTTTCTTTTAAATTTAAGTTTCTTTGCATTGCCGCCATTTTCTTGGACGACTGCGCATCCTCGGAGTGGTTCACCTTATTTCTTACACCATGTATAGGACGTCATTGGCACCTTGCGTGATAGTCACAAAGCAGTCACGCAGTACTTTTTATTATTTATATTTTGTAATTGTATTCAGTTTGAATTTTCATAATGTAATTTCTTTTCATTTCGTATTTTCAGTTTCTTTTACTCATTTTTCTACTATTTTTGTGAGTTATCATGTTTCGTTTAATGTTTTTTTATTGGTGGTAGTTTGGTGAAGTGATCTTTAGGGAACTTGCTTCAGAACGCATAAAAAATAACACTAAATCAATCAGTAACTTTGCTCTCTTTCTCTTTGTCTCTCTCTCTCTCTCTCTCTCTCTCTCTCTCTCTCTCTCTCTCTCTCTTTCTCTCTTTTCCTCTCCTTTCATTATTTTACTAACAAAATTGGTTATCATCATCATGAATTTCAATGATATAAAAAAGAAAATACGTATATATTGTTTCTTGTTATGTTTCTGTCAAATTATCCGAGTTTAATACACAATTTTATTTCCAAATATATAACTGAAAATTTACGGAATAGTGTCAATCGTCCGTATAATTATAATACACAAAGTATTTGCGTAGCCACGAAGTTTAAATGCCTCGAATACTTTTTTTGCCCAGTTTTACGTTATTGTTCACTCGAATTTGCATTCTTCATCGTCCAAACTCATTTCTAAGAAAAATATCGACTGTAACGTAACTCCGGACAATCTTAGAAGACATCACGCTATCAACAGTTTTTCATCCCCGTATCTTTACCTGGTGATATCATCGCGGCGACATAACGTAACCGAGAATATATAACCGAGAATCGAAACTCACGTAATATAATTCGCGTGAACAAAAGAAGATAGCGAACGTTCAGATAAGCGAAGTAAGACTCTCGTGTGTATAAACTAAACCGACAAAGCTAGAAGAGGAAAAATGAATAGGTAACAAATACAGATAGAAGTTGAGGATTAAATATCGATATAAAAGCCCAATTAACACAACTTGACTATATTCACTGCGACAGCAAATATGTGACTAGTACTACGTTCTGCCGGCCTTATTTACAGCTGGTTAGCTGCAAATGTTATTTTTAACTGCAAAAGCATTGGGACAGCTATTTTAGCTACATTAATAAGCATAATGTTGTTATGACAGTAATACTAGAAACTAAAAGACAGCCACAACTTTTTTAGCTATATTAATAGCTATAAAATCGCTGACAGTAACAAAAGCTAACATTCAACCACAGCTATTTTTGTTATAGAAGAAATTCCAGGTTCGACTTCTGACCGAAGTGTTGTTTTGCTATATAATTCAAGTAAATAAAAACGGAAAACGAAGATTTCTCATAAATATAAAGCAAATCTGGCATCCTATCACTACCAAATAAATAATTTTAATACAACTTTATGTGTATACGGTGCACCAAACCAATATATATATATTTATTTATTTATTTCATTGTGCAGGTTATTCTTAATCATAAGTCTTCTAGGAGATATTTTTTTCCAAACAATTCCAATATATCATTTTAAAATACGGTATTTATTAATACAATAATAATAGTAAAACTATTATTTTACGAAATGTACATTGTTTGTACAATACATGTTACATTTCAATGTCTGTACAAATATGTCTGTAATATATTTCTTCGTTTATGCTCAACAACAAAGTATTTATCTCAAAATCATTAACATCGGTAAAAAGTTCTTAGCTTTAAAAAAATATATCGATCAAAGCTACATTTCAAATCAAAATATTCTTGCGCTTCTTTGTAAATTTGTACAGTAAAGTATAAAATATATGTATGTGTATACAGCTGGTACAATAAAAACATTATTTATGTAATATTTCTAAGTTATAAAATAGAAAGAACATAAAGTATTACATCAGTTATCCAAATATCGATATCACATTATTTATGGTGAATTAGTTGACGCGTAATATTCTTATGGAACATGAATTCAGAGTTACATTACGTACATTTAAATCTATGTTGACTAATGCAGTGTATGGAGAATATATGAATCAACGAATATATGATAAACCAATAAACTGTATTAAGTTGTGTGTTGGTGAAAACCAAACTTTTAACGAACAAAGCCATAAATAAAAGTATACATACACTGAGAAAAAAAAGTTGTTGAAGTAACAAAATAGTATTTGATTCAACTATATGCAGCGGTCACGGGCTGTCAATAAAATATTGATTAATGTAAGAAGATATCATGTTTCAATAGATATAATAATTAGGTTATACCGAAAGACAATTTAATTGTTTTAACAAAATTATAATTTGCTTAAATACAGGTAACTTTGAATGTACAACACAACAGGACAACACAATATTTTGTCTGCTTATAAAAATAAGCAGTTTGATTAGATGAAATACTTAGTACAAAGAAATTCAGATTATATTCAATTAAAGTAAATGAGAATTGCCCAATTCATTTTTTTTAACAGTATCTTTTATTTGAAATTATCACAACTTATGTTCGACAAAACAATTCATGGTTTGGTGAATTAAATATGGTCATTACCACTATTGTGTTAATTCAACTTATACGAATTTGTTATCTTTATTACCATATGCTTGAATTAAAAAACCAAGTATTTCAGATAACAAACTGAAACTCAACTAAACGCATTTAGTTGAGTTAATAGTATTTTTTTCTCAGTGTATACAAATATATATAACAAAAACAGTTTGCTCTGCTTGTTTAGATATAGTAAAGAGGCGATAAATATCACACTGACAGTAGTATAGAATACAAAATCCTTTTTAGAAAAAAAAATTAGTGGAATACGGTTCTATATGATTTTCACTTATACACATACGTGTCTAAAAGCGCAATTTCGAAAGACGGTTTCAGAGCGAGTGAAACGATTGCCATGGCGTTGCCTGTCCTCGCTAAGAATCATCATCGTTATCAGCAGTGTGGCGAATTGGACTGAATCATTAGAGAAGATTTGATTTGGTGAGATAAAGAACGAAACTTGCGGTGATTCTTATGTATAACAAAATACAAACTGTCGATAAAACTAATATAAACTTAGTATATCAGGTTTTACTTTCACTTTTGTATGAATTGTGTCTACAAAAAACATGTATTAAAAATTAATACCTTGTATTTCAATCACATCTGTATTCCTTCAAGTGCTAAACATTCTTTCCAATTTTTTACTAATGAGTTAAATCCATTAATAAACCACGACGGGCTTAGTGAATCAAGTGATCTTATAATCCAATTTTCGAATTCTTCGATATTTTGACATTGTTTGCTTTTAAAAACGTTCACCAGGTGTGGGAAGACGTAATAAGATGGAGTAATGCCAAGACAGGACGTAGGATAGGGTAAGACTTCCCATCCAAACTCCAATATCTGTTTTTTCATGGATTTAAGGATATCTTTTTGGACAAAAAATTCAAGCAACAGAATCACTTTACGTTTTTTCCCTATTTGCATTCGTTTCCATTTCAACGCTTCCTTTACCATAATTAATTGTCGTGAATATTCGTCGATAACACTTTCATGTGATCGTAGCATTTTGCAATATATAACCTCTTTATTATCCCACCAAATAAAGAGCTTAAGTTCATTTTCCTTACTTCTTTTTGTTTTTGTTTGATCATGAGTATTGTAAGGTATTGACAGTATACTTCCAGTCACGAAGTGATCCACAAAGTGCTTCTGCGTATTGTGACGTGTAAGCAATGAAAAGCAGGTGTTGGAATGAATCTGACTAGCCAAGCCAAGCGGGTTTCTTTGAGTTCGATGTTTTCCTATGTTTTCTCGTCGGTGCCGAATAGTTTCCTCATCAACATTGAATACCATAGCAACTTCTTTGTTCGTTACATGTGGATTTTCATCTAAACATTTCTTCAAATCTTCATCTTTAAACGGCTTTGAATAACCATGAAATGTAAATTGTAAACCAAAAGGGTCAGTTTTGAATTGGCTATAGCATTGCTCGCATATCGCGTAGCTTGGTACAGAACCAGGATACATTTTTTTAATAATTTCGTAAGCCTCCGTGACTGGTTTGTTTTGATCAAAAAAGAATAGTAATAGCTGTCGCCAATGTCGGTAATCACGCATCATGTTTTTTTCGCGTAATAAATAACTTTCTAGTCGATGATTTGTTGTATAATTTCGCAACTGGTAGAATGCAGAAATGCAGATGACATACAACAAATGATGAATAACAAAATTGAATTTCAATTACATCAGTAACGTCATCCTTAGTGGTAAACTGTAAACATAAGCGCAACACTTAATAAGTTCTCAGAACGCTAAAAAAACACTTAATGTTTTTCACTAATTGCATTAAAAAATATAATAAACGTATAGATGGCTCACGAGAGCCGTTCGCTGGATGTTGTGCGGAAATATATGTACGTGTTCACGTGTAAATCTTACACGTGAGTTTTTGAATTAAAATTTCAATACTTAAATTCATATAGGATGCTATACTTGCATCTCATATATGAGAGACTCCGTATACCCCCTAACTAATTTTAAAATATTGCGAAAAAAACTCCTTGGCCAGGAGTTGAACCTGGTAAAAAATCACGTGTAAGATTTACACGTGAAATATGCGTGTGTATATATATATACACACGCATATTTCCGCACAACATCCAGCGAACGGCTTTCATGTGACCATCTATACATTTATTAGTTTATAAACTTTAAAGCCTAAGAAATATTCTTTAAAAAACAAAATAAATTCTGATTACACACTTTCCGCGGTGGCGAACAAATATGTGATATTATTGTGAGATCTGTGATAATACAATTTAGTTAACACGTATTATAGTCATCGCTCAATTAATGATCGTTTTCTTTTTTATTCTTACCCTGTAACTGTTTTCTATCGTATCCTTTGTTGTCTTTCAATTTCTTGGTAATAATGTGTAAGTGGTCATAAAAAATATATATTTTTTGTGTTATTTTCTCTCTCAACCTTTTTGATTTTTTTGTTATTTGTTCACTTTGTAGTTTAACTTAGTACGAAAGTTCTATAATGTCAGTCCAAACCGCTCGGAATCTACGTATAAAATATTATTATTTAATATATATTAATATTAGTATTAAATATATTGTATTTTACAAATATATAAGAATTTTATGAACATGTAGGATGTAATATAAGTCACTTGTATTTCTTCTTAAATGTTCTATAATTGTTTCCGATAAAGCTGCAAACTCAAATTAATAAATACACGTGATTGATCTGTGATCGTCACGCACACGTAAATGATTGACGAACAGCACACAGATTAGTAACAGAAACACAAATTCGTAGAGCGTTTTATATCGAAAAACGAGACAAATTTGTATGTAGCGAAATCTTCGAAATGTACTGTGTAACTCGTCTTTTTTCATGTATTACTTATTTTCGTGTATTACTATTAGAAAGATTCACGATGTAGAGAATTCAAAGTTATTCTATCTTCAGATATCACACCGTTCACGATCGCTACATACGACTGCCGGACAGGGATGCCAGATTCCGGCCGCTTGGTAGCATGCGGTAGCATGGAGGGGATAGGACATCTTCATGCCGTGTCAGTGATGCCAGATCGCGCCGGACAACATCGAGAGTATCGAAGCGGGGTATCCCCACCGCCTCGATGCTCTCGTACGCATACAAGTGAGAACCGCACACGGACGCTGTTTTCGCTTGTATGCGTACGAGAGCATCGAAGACGGTGAGGGTACCCTGCTTCGTTACTCTCGATGTTGTCCGGCGCGATCTGGCATCACTGACACGGCATGAAGATGTCCTATCCCCTCCATGCTACCGCATGCTACCAAGCGGCCGGAATCTGGCATCCCTACTGCCGGACTATGTTCAAAATAAGACTCTTCGAATTTGGCTGTTGATCATCTATAGACCGAACATTGGTACCTTGCGTGATAGTCACGCATCAGTCACGTTAACCTTTAGTATTTATATTCTGTAATTGTATTCGGTTTCGTTTTCGAATTTTCATAATGTAGTTTCTTTTTAATTCTTATTTGTAATTTCTTATACTCATTTTTCTACTGTTTTTTTAAGTTATCATGTTTTGTTTAATATTGTTTTATTGGTGATAGTTTGGTGAGGTGAGCTTTAGGGAACTTGCTTCAGAGAGCATAAAAAAAGGCTAAATCAATCAGTCACTCTCCTGTCTCTCTTTCTCTCCTTTCCTTTTATTAATTTGCTGACGGAATTGTTCATTATCATGAATGTCGATAATTTAAAAGAGTAAATACATATATATTTTTTCTGTCAACTCATCCGAATTTAATATGTAATTGCATTCATAGAAATACAACTGTAAATTATACGGAAGTAGTATCAATCATTCGTAAGATGTAATACACAATTTATTTGCGTAGCCAAGGAGTCTAAATTCATCAAAAAATTTTTTTTGCTTAGTTTTACAGGTCACTCAAATCTGCATTCTTCATTGTCTCCACACTCATTTCTAAAAAGAATATCAACTGCGACGTTACTCCGAACGATCTTAGAAGGCATCACGCTATCAACAGTTTTTCATTCCCGTATCTTTACTTGGTGATATCGGTGCGTTGACGTAACGTAACCGATAATCTATCGATCGAAAATCGTTTGTACTATAATCCGCGCGAACAAAAGAAGATAGCAATCGTTCAGGTAAGCAGGATAAAACTTTCAGTTATAAACGGAAAGTGATAGTGCGAGAAGAAAAAGAATGAAGAGAGAGAGAGAGAGAGAGAGAGATAAAAAACACATAGGTAGAAGTCGCGGAGTAAATCTCGATATAGAAGGTTGTCCAGTCGACATCGGAAAACCAATTTCTGGCGTTGCGGTGTACTTTTCTCAACAGCCGGCGACTCACTTGCTCATCGCGATTTGCCTTCGAAAAAAAATGACTGCCGCGTGAAATAGTATCGCAATTTTAATGTGCTATTACACGGCGCGTGGTTTGACGCAGTCTGTGCAAGCTTCACGCCGCTCGTACAGGCTTGTCGATTCGTTCTTTATCAAGCTCTGAATGTTCTCACGACGCGTTAATTCGCGAACTTCAAGCCACACGGCGCGCCGCTTGTAGGCTGTATCTTGAAAGCTTCAAGATACAGCCGAAAAATAGGACCGCATGCTTTACGAGCTTCTCGGTCAAGTCGAGAGATGTGCACAGAGAATCCCGTGACGCGAAGCGTCGATTTCTTCCTTTCCAATGCCAAGTCTGTTAAACTACGAACGTGGTGAAAGCAGCGACAGACGTGTGTCGTTCAAACTGTGCTGCGTCTGGAAAGTAGCAGACGCGCCCAGCGGCACAACCGAGAGAGTCTCTTCTCGCCACGAAAGTATCCCACGGGATACCGTCGGCATTACGTGAGAGAGCTTGACGTAATGTCGTTTCAACTCTCGCTTCTTCTCCATTCCCGCGCGTGTCGCGCTCTTGCACCGTACCGTTTCTCGCGTGAAATTTTTTGCATTCGCCGGAATTGTTGCGAGGGTGAAGCAGCGTGCGCGCGCGCGCAGCTCGCCTGGTAATGGACTTTTTCGCGCGACGAAGTCTTCCTCCTCATCCGTGCACTTTAGTTTTTTTTTTTTATACCGAACCGCACGGGTAAGGAGAAGAAGACTCCGAGACGGACTCATTAAAAACGTTGTACCGCGATAATCACTCGCGCGCTAAGCGCGCGCGCGCATGGATGATGACCCTCGTGTACACATTACTTCGTCGTCGTTAACGAGCCATAATCGGACACGGTTCGTATTTTTCGAAAATACGTTCGCGCGAGGAAAACGCGAGAGAGTAGAAAAATATTTCCTATCTCGCGATCTTTTCTCATATTTTATTCGTATAATATCAAATAATATATCTCTATGTATTTTGCGACGCGAAATGTGGAAATAGAGATTTATCTTTGGCTCTCTCTCTCTCTCTCTCTCTCTCCCTCTGGTATTCTCAACGCGTAAATTAGTTTGTCGAAACCATTGCGGCAGTAAATCTGCACATACAGTGCCGGCTCAATTATGCAAGGAAGCATCTGTCTCACGGTGCATCATACATGAATTCAAATGGTCCTAACAATTTTGCATATTTTGCATAAGTAACACGGAAGATCACTCGCGTAATAATTGAACCACAAAATTCACAAACGTATCAAAGTTACTCTGCCGTCTTTAATTTATTTATAATTTATTGTGATATTTTTGTTTTAAATTAAGCTTAAGAACAGCAACTTGTAAGCTGTCGCCTCGCTCTTTAAATCGCCTTCGTTAAGATTCCTTCCATTTAAATTGCGTCTTTATACTCCTTCGAGAGCTAACATGTATTTTCCTTGAAATTTTGTATATTTTGTAATTGATGTTCAAAAACAAACATAATTAATGTATATCTTATATAAAGTTATTGTGTAGATTCAGAACTAATGTATTGTTATACCGGTCCTCTAAGAGTTTAATAAAATTGTTATTATTGGTATTGTTGTTATTATTATTGTTGTTGTTGTGTTGTTGTTATTATTATTATCATTAAGTATTAATCCGTGGTAAAAAAATTAATACGTGTCGAAACGCATATTCGAATCGACAACGAACTAAAATCCACTGATCCGTAAGACACGCGTCAGTAAAAAAAAAATCACCCGCTAAAAATTTTTCATCGTAATATGCGATATATAAGGACAGAATAAAGATTTATCGCTGAAGACAATGTCATGAGCGCGCAGAATTTCGTCCCGACGTGTAAAGAGGATCGAAAGTGGAATGCAGGCTGCATTATACCGACGAACGTGTAAAACACGTGTACACAGAGAGACGTCGCGTTAGGCGAGGAGGATCATTAATATCACGTCGGAACAGCTCAGGAGTGAAGAAGAGAGAGAGAGAGAGAGAGAGAGATAGGAAGAAAGAGAGAGAGAGAGAGAGAAAGGAAGGAAAACTGGCCGAGATTGTGTGTGTCCTGGGGTCGCTGCTTCTTTTCCGAGGTGAAGTTTTCCCCCGATACCGATACGCGAAGTAACGCCGAGAGTTTCGCGCGCGATTCATCCCCTCTTCATTTTTCTTCATTCGGTCCTACCGATCCATTCCCGTTCACGATGCCACGAAAAACGAGACTGTCCACCTTCAGCCTTCCTTCCCGGAGCACAAGTCTCTCTCGTTACCCTATAAATCCTCTAATTCGTAACCGCACACCATCACGTACGTGTGTGTGTGTGTGTGTGTGTGTGTATGTGTGTATGTGTGCGCGCGCAGCCCTGCGCTTTCCTATTCCGCGGTCAAATTCCATCAAACGCGGAAGCCTTTAAACCTAACGATCTCCAATTCTTCCGCATAAGCCCGGCAGCTGTTACGTCGCATCCACAAAAGACGGATGGAATAATGATCGCGCGCGCGCGATGCACACACCGTGAATCAATTCTCGAGAAGCGTGATACGTTAATAAAAGAGTTGCTTGATTTATGACACGGTTTCTCTCTCACGCGCAAATAATATGCTAATAAGGCCACAACGTCGTATCCGCTTTCATATCATCGAGAGCCAAACTCTCCATTAACCCTCGCTTCGTGAAATCTCAAACACAAGAGATGATTATCGGAAATAAACTTCAGCCGGTAGAAAACTGATCGATACACACGCTTTTCTCACATCTAGTTATTCCGATGTTGCGAACCAACTACAGCGTGTGTGTGTGTTATAAATCTCGAACACGCAAATTTTTACACTCTCTCTCTTTGCTTTTTAAGACGCATTTCGTCGTCTGATGTAAAAAAAAAAAAAAAAAACCATTTGCACCGGTCGCTCTCCGAGCCGATCGCGAGACTTTACAGTCCGCATAATAACGGCTCGGTTTTTCTATTGTTCATCAACCACGATGGAACAATGTTACGCGCATGTCAATGAACCCTCAGATCCGTTGTGCGCTGTACGTAACGTACGTACGTATAGGTACAATGTACGTGCACACGGCAGTTTTCCAACAAAGCCGATTAGTAACGGAGACGCGCACGGCTTAATCTTCTTCGTTCGCGAACGCATCTAGAAAGAGTATCCGGCTCTCTCGATGTAACTCTGTGTACAATAAAGCTAAACAAAATGCATAAACCGAATCAATATTTAAAAAAATCCCGAAGGTTATATATAATTAAAATTCAAATAAATTGTGAAACATCTGTTCCGATTTAAGAAATATACTTCCTGTAAAATAATAGTTTTCTGATCTTACATCGCGCTTTGCAAGTCAAAGAATATCGTCGTGAAATTCGTTTCAAGATCGTCAAGACTCACAAGTATTGGTTTTTTGTTCAGTCGCTCCCCTTCCAGCGTGCGAAAATTCCATTTGAAAATTGCCGTCGGAATAGACAAGGACGTGAAAAGATGGCGTCCCGTGCGCCTGCGCGAGAGTAGTTAGAAAATTCTTTCGCAAGTATGCGACGACCATCTCCCTCCCTCTTCTCTCTGTTTCCTGTGAGCACATCAGGCTCGCGAGAACG